TTATATAATTCTAAATATCATTTTTTAATTTCATTTTTTATTTCTTTTATAATTATAAAATAAAAAAGCTTTTTATAATAAAATTTGAAAAAAAATTATAAATTAACTAAATCTTAATATATTAAATATATAAGAAATTTCTAAAGATATATTCTCATTTTCTATTTATTTATATTCTTTAGCTATAGCTATAAATTAATAAAAAACTATTTTAAATATTTCTATAATTTCTTTAATTTATTTCAAAAACTTTTTATTTTTAAATATATAAATAGTCTTAATTCTAGTACTAGTAAAGTATATTTTAGGCCTAAAAATAGCAAATATAAAAAGTATTAATAAAGCAGGTAATAGAAGGGCTAGTTTAGCTAAATTATTATTTAAATTTATTAAAATAAAGCTTGAATTATAGTATTTTCTAAGAAAGCTCTAGCTTTCTTAAAACTCTGGAAATTATATCTCTATTTAAAAGTAAACTATGAATATATGGCCCCCAGTATATCAAAAAAATAATTAAGGTAATTAATTATATTTAATTAAATCAAGTAAATAATTAATTATAATTTGATTATCGACTTTTAAAAAAAATTAATTATTAGAAAAATTATAATTAAATATAATTAATTATTTCTAATTATCACGTGAAATTTATATAAAAGTTATATAAGTAATAATTTCTCTTCTTTTTCTTTAAATAATATATAACTAAAGCATAAAGAGAGTAAAGGTTAATTGATTTCCAAAGAAGAGAGAAGGAGAGCAAGGTAATATATATGTGAATTATTTGCTCTGTATATCACATGACCGCGCCCACGTGACTAGAGAAGTCAAAACCCCTACTATAGTACTTATTTACAAAGATAAGTAAAGCGAGTAAAGGCGGGATACTAGCTATTAAGCCTATAATAGTAAGGCGATATCTAAATCTAAATTAGGGTAAAATACGCTTTACTTTTGCGCCATAACGCTTATATTATCTTTGTAGTCACGTGTAATAATACGTGATCCAGTAATTAATTATATTTAATTAAATTAAGCAAATAATTAATTATAATTTGATTACTACGATTCTGACTTAATTTAATTTGATTACCGGCCAATAATTATAATTAATTAAATTATTTGATATACTAATGGCCCCTGATTTTTAATAAAATTATTCGAATCTAATAATAAATTGTATTATATATCCTTTTTATTTTTAATATACTCGTTAGAATATTTATTATTTAAGAAATTAGAAGAAAAGAAAAGCTCTAATTAGCTATCTAATAAATCAGGAAAATTAAATAAACTTTTAAAAGTAGCTGTAATAATAGCTAAAATAAAGCGAAAAATATTAAGTATTTTTCTAATTACTTAAAATTAGAATTCAGAACGAAGTATATATAAAGAGGTATATATTAGGGCTAATTACTCTCCCTTTACTCGCTACTAATTAGTGAACTCGCCTATATTTATAGGCGTTTGGGGGCGTTCAGTACCTGTCAAGCTATATAAGCCCATATTAAACCTTTAGTGCACTTTTAGTAAGCTTATAGGGGCTTACAGGAGACTAGGACTAGTTATAGGGAGATTAAAGTAAGACTTTACAGGGCATTTAGTGGCCTTCATAAAATAATGCCCTGTATTCCCGATACTTTATGCAGTTGTCTTCGTATAGATATTCCTTTCAGCTGCATTTGGTAATTCTAGAGTTGCCTGTGGTATTGGCAGCAACGTTGGAGATAATTTATGCCGTGGAGACGGCGCTGGAAGATCCGGGTACTTGGTTCCACCAGGGTATTGGCATTTTGGTAGTGACCGATTTACGAGGTAACCAAGAAGAGAACCCAGGACAGTCAGCCAAGCCAGATTGCTGGCTCATGGTTTGCACCTTGACTTGTTGACTATTCTGAGACTTCAGCTGCGAGCTATGTGGGGGATGAGTTGTGGCCGGGAGGTCAATTAGCGGAGGTGGTTTAATGAATGAATCACGTCCAATTAGTAGAGGTGTGAGGCTCGAACCAGGTTCGGCCGGAGACTCATTCGGATATTGCTAAGGCAGTGAGGTTTTGGGTAGAACAGGTGGTCACTATAGCTTCATTGGAATAGTAAAAGTTGGATCTATTTGAACATTTGTTTGTCGAACTACTACGAAGATCACGGCATAAAGTAACGGGATTACAGGCCATTTGGGCCCTTGGCATCCCCCCAAGGCACAATTTCGGGGTTTGAGCAAACTATAAGGCCCTATGACCTCAGGTCATACTCCCTAAGCAGATCTCAAGAGGCGCTATAAGATAGTCGCAAGGTATGAGAAGATGTTCAGGGGTAAAAAAGGAGCAGCGCTAGCGCTTAGACTTTAAATACGTAGTTACTATAATGGTCTTTAGCGAGACTTCCCTTATAATTATAAGAGAGAAGCCTTGAAAAGATATATAATTCCTTGCCCCTATTTTATAGTATGTTTTTAAAGTAATAACCTAGAATTATAAGGCTATTTAGTAATTACATATACTAGAAATAAATATTAAAGTATTATTAAAGTACAAATGCCCTGTAATTTCTAATTAATAATAGAATAATAAGCCTTTATTCTTTTTTAAAATACTTCTTAAAATAGCTTTCTTTAATAGCTTTTCTTAAAATATTTATAGCTATCTTTTTTATTTAAGATTATTAGCCTAATATCTAATTAGAAATCGAGTTTAAATTTTTGCTTTAAGTTTTATTATTCTTTTATTACTTTTCTTTCTCTTTTCTTTATTAATAAAAAGTCTTATTTCATAATTTTTAAATTCTAGTATTTATTAGTATTTAAATACTAGCTTTTATAGAAAGCTATAAGAATTAATTATTTAAATAATTTTCGAATTCAGTTTTTGATTTTTAATATTTAACTTATAATATATATATATTATATTCTCTCTTTCTATATCTTTATTTATTACTACTATTTAAAATATTATTCTTTCTTGAATTCTTATTTATATATATATAAGAGAGAAGTAAGAGATAAAGAATAAATAGGAATAGAAGTAAAGAATAAATAAAAATTAAAAAGCAAAAATTAAAAAGCGAGCTTTAAGGTATATAATTTATAAGAAAAAGGAAGCCCTATAATTATAAACTACTTATTATTAAATTTTAGAGCTATAATTACTAAATTATAAGTTATAAATATTAAAATTTTAGTAAGATTTTCTTATATTACTTTACTTTTTCTTTTCTTTTTTTTTTCTTTTCTTTTTCTTTCTTTTCTTTTTCTTTCTTTGCTTTTTCTTTTCTTTTCTTTTTCTTTCTTTTCTTTTTCTTTCTTTTCTTTTTCTTTCTTTTCTTTTTCTTTCTTTTCTTTTTCTCTCTTACTATTATACTTATAAAGAGAGTAAAAAGAATTAAAAAAAAGGAAATATTTGAAATAATAATAGAGATATAAAAGAAAAGATATAATATATAAATGTAAATATATAAGTAAATATATATTATAAATTAGATATTAAAAGTCGAAAACTGGATTTCGAAAATCGCTTAAATAATTAATTCTTATAGCTTTTCATAAGCTTTTATTTATTATAAAAATAAGTATTTCATATATTTTTATTTATTAGTAATAATTACTAGTATTTGCTTTTATTATTTTTATAAGATTTTCTAGAATATAAATTCTTTTTAAAGCTTTATATTTTGCAATTTTAGTAAAATATATCTTATATTAATTTGTTTAGTAATAAATAATATAAGATATAATTATTTAATTAATTACTTTTTTATTTAATAATAAATAAATCTAGGCTTTAAGATATTGTAATTATGAGAAGTAATTACTAATTATTAGAGAAGAAAAAGTGCGAGATTAGTGAAATTAAAAATAGAGGCTTAATATAATTATAGAGATAAAACTGAAACTTTTATAACTATAATATTTATTGAATTTTTGTTTCTTGCGAAACACTTTTAATTTGTCAAATACTAGCTTTGAATCAGGAGCTTTGGCAACCTCTAGAGTTAAATATCTCTTGCCTTTGGTTGCGCTTGTGTTTGCAGTATTCGCAGGATCCGGTGCGCTCCCTATGGCCACTAGCACTCGGAAGCAAAAAGCAGTTATTAGCAGATTGGAAAAATATATAGGTTAGGAAGAGAGAAAAATGGCATGGTGTATTGCATCCCTAAAGACTCCGGGATGAATTCCCATGCATTCCACACTTCATTGACCTAACTATTCAGGGCTGGACAGAAATTCAACGTTATGCCTGCGCAAATATGTTGGGAAATCTTGGACAAGGCCTCTACAAGGTCGTGAATATTTTAGCAAAGCTTATAATACTAGGGAAATTACTTTTCAATTCTATTTTGTAATAGTGGTAGAGCTGTTATTTAGACTAAGTCAAGAAAGGGGATATTGCGTTAAAAAGGGGGAAATTCCTTACCTTATTAATATTTGAAGAATTTTTATTAAATCATCGAATCAAGGAAATATAGCCGTATTTACTCGCGAGTGCTCTGTATTAGTTTGATTTATCTGGCAAACGGAACGCGAGGGAGTACATAAGCTTCTCTGTATGAACCTCAACTAATTGGCAATAATTGCAAACTCGCTGGAATGCTTACTAGACTAGTCAGTGACTGTAACAGGGGGAATAGACGAACTGGTTATTGGAACGTTAGAGGTGTTCATACACGACACGGGCGATCTGTCTCAGTCCATGGGTCTGTGGAATTCTCCGTGAAAATCTTTTACCGGAATGGATTCAGGTCGGCGCACGGAATGTTTATTTTGCCAAATAAGCAAAAGATTGGGTTTCATTTAAACAAAGTTCTAGATAACAAAACTTTAATTCGTATACCATTCCTGGACTTTTTTATATACTTGTATTCTAAGAAATATCCGCCATTTTAATTAGCTATTTGTATTTCAAGGAACAGAGAGATTACTAGACCTGGAAGGCACCGGCTTCCACATCGACTAGAACGCCATTGATATGCTCTGAGGCTGTAATTAAGCCAATCAATACTTTACAATGATATTATTGGGCCCTACGAGCTCCGCAAATGCATGTGTGGCCAAGGAAGTTGAATTCAAGCGCTTCAATTCTCTTCCAGAGGAGTTGAGAAGGACTATTTGGAAGTACTCCATCCCAAGAGGCCGTATTGTGGATGTGGTGTTTGATCGAAAGCGAGACCGGTACTGCTCGTTTCACGCACTTGTTCCCGCAGTACTTCACGTCTCTAAGGAGTCGAGAACCGTTGCTCTAAGGGTATATACCCTTTGCTTTGGCACCCAGTCAAATCCTGCAGCTATTCCGGTTGATCAGATCTCTGATTGCATACTTTTCGAAGACTGGCTTGTACCGCTTCCAGTATCTTCCACACATGAGTTTATAAGCCCCGGTCAACAGTACCGAGGCTGCCAAAATGAGCTCCAACGACTCATCGGCCCCGTAGGACAAATTGAGCAAGACATAAGAAGGGTTGCTATCTCAATTGATTTTTACTCTTTTTTTGAGTACAATGAGTTTGTCCAATGCCTACGGTACTTGTCTGGCAAATTGCCAAAGATTGATACACTTGTCTTTGTATTAGAGGAAAGGGACCCTTACGCACAGGGAGAGGTCTACTTTTCGGAATTGGATTTTAAAGCTTTTTGCTGCCCGGACTGCTACTGCGATATTAAGAGTTATATCGGCACAGCATCGCAAGAGGCATTAATCCACTGGAAAGATGCAACAATAACGGATAGCAATGAGGCCAGGGTTGCCATAGCCTCGGATAATTCTTTAAGGGTCGAGGCAAAGGAGATTCAACTTCGTTTTCGAGGCATTTATAGAGGTGGCCAACTCCAGCCAATTAAACTTATCGAAAGATGCTATAGGAGTGGGGAAGATGAGATTCTTCAGCCGTTTGACGGCATCGCTCCTGTTAAAGAAATTGCTTGTGCAAAGACTGGTGCTGTGGATGTTTAGACCGATATTGCAGTCATTGTGCAAAATAAGAACATTCGGGGCGATTCAAAGAAGGAGGATAATCAGATGAAAAGAAAACAGGACAAAGGAAACGAATATGGAGGTTTAGGAGACAGAGAATGGGAAGGGTTATTGACAGACAACAAGTCATGGGAAGTATTTGGGCCTCTTACTGGAGTGTAAATTAAAAATTGATATTAACAAAGCACCTCGCTATTTCCAATTATTCTACTCCCTCGACAGAACTAGGCTAGACATCTATATCTCAGCTTCCGAAGATATTCCTGAAGCAGTAGATCCACAGTAATTGTCAGTATATATACCCCGAGCTCTAATCACTAGCCACCGCCAATAACCGAATGCCTCCAATTCTTACCGCAAATCGATAACCGCCAGGTGAGTTCTTACAAATCGCAGACAGCCTACCACTCTTACAGTGGCTTCATGAAGCAGCCATGCTACGAATGCAGACGGCTCACTACCTTCAGTCTCTATCAAATTCGTGGTAAATGGCCTTGTAAGCATCTCGTCTTAGCATCAGGTAAGCTGCCAACCCTCAACGACAAATATCTAATGTCCTTCTCTGACAGGTCACCAAAGCATCTGCACTACAGCGTCTTAGCTCTAATTCTCCCATGTGCAATGTCCCAAACTCCAGTTTTCAGCATGCATTTGTGTGTCGTCATTAACCCGCCCGACTTTTCTACAATTCTTAAGTATATGGATCTAGATAACTGGCTAGATCCTTGCTGAGTGAGATCTAAGGGTTGCCTGAGATTGAGGGCATTGTATTTGTGAATTTAACTGCCTGCATCCAAATTCACAAAACCGCAAATTTGCAGTCCGGCAATATTGCAAATACTTTCCAATAGCTGAAAATTCAGCCTAACGGGACATTAGCTCACTAACACCCGACCCACTTTAAGGCAAGTCTTGCGCCATAATATTTGTTGCGAGGGGATTTGTGTACCAATAGTGTGTCCGGCTCACGAGTCCCAATTCCACCACATAGCTTGGAGCTGCAAATCTTCCCGGGTAGTGTGGAAGTACTTGCACTGGGCATACTACTCTGTATTTTACGACTTTCACTAAGCTGCAAATCTAGGGCATATCTTACCTTCCAAGTTCGTAACTTTATTATAAACCTAGCCAGGCTTGGCAAAAATACTTTTGGTATCGATAAGGTATTGATACTGGATGGTATTACTTAGGTCTCGCAAGGATCAATACATATCGATACCAAATCAATGCTTAGCCTTAAATTATCTCTTCCATTTATTATTTAATTTATATAATAGTATACTTATATATAATTTCTTTATTTTCTAGTCTTTCTATTAAAGGAATTACTTAATATTATTAATAAAAGTTAATATTATCTTAATTTTAAAATGGCTCTTGTATTCGGAAAATTTAGTATCATATTCGTATCTCTTATCGGAATACTTATTATAAGCGAGCCTCACGAAAATCTCAAAAGCTAATTTTTGCTTAAAATAGCCGCATTAAGACAAGTTTTAGTCTAAACTATAAGATAAGTAGCTAAATAGAAAGCCTAAATTAAGTAGAATATTTGCGCTACCAAAAACTTTCTTATAAGGGAAGTGGTTCTAAAGTTAATTGCAATTAAAGGGGGGAATTGGGTTCCGGGAATCGATAGGAATCGATACTTTATTAATAGTATCGATACCTTACGATTCTGACATCAATACCTATTAATACCAGAAATTAGGTATTTCTGCCAAGCCTGATCCTAGCCTTATAATAACATTTATATAAACGGCCTGGGCCATAGCCTGGGCTGTCTTGCTAAGGCTCAGAGTAAGGCATTTTGCTATAATTTATTAGAACGCAAAAAAGTTTAAAATAATAAAAGCTTAATACCTAAATTTATATGGCTTTTTATAGCTTATATATTTCTTATATATGTGAGTTTCAAAATTATAAAAGAAAGATAATTATTACTTTTAAAAATATATATTAAATTTAAGTTAAATTTTATAAATAGAAATTTAGTTTTAAGTAATAATAAAAAAATTCATTTCAAATATATTTATATAATAAAAATACGCTTTTTTATAAAGCGAAAAAACTAAAAGAAAGAAAGTTTTTGATTTATTTATTTAAATAATATATTAGTCTAATAATAAATATAAAACTATATTTTTTAAATATTTTTTTTAAAAAAAAATTTCTTTTAATTTTTTTTTAAAATAAAGCTTTAAATATATAATATTTATAAATGAAATTAAATAAAGAATTATATTTGAATTATATTTGAATTATATTTGAATTATATTAAAAAAAATTAATTATAATATATATATATAAATTTCTTAATAATTTTTTATATATTATAATATTAAGAGTTATATTTAATTCTAATATAAATAAGCTTAATTATTATATTTTTTATTTAATACTTTTTTCTATAAATATTATAAATTAATTAAAAAAAATTATTTACTAGTTTTTTTAAATATATAAATATATAGAAATTATTTAATATTATATATTATATATATATAAATAGTTTTATAAAAAATCACAAAAATTATAATTTAAATCTATAATTTTTAATAAAGTTAAAAAAACGAATTTATTATAAATATTAAATATTATAATAAGAATTACTAATTTGGGGCTAGTATAATTACTTTATTTAATTAAAATCTATATATTTATTTCTTAAGGCTTTATATTTTACTTAAATTCTTTTTTAGTTAGTTTAATTAATTCTTTTATTATTTAATATTACTTTTTATTTTATAATTTTTATATATATTAATTATAAGCCCGGTTTTATATTAATATATTATAAAGAGTATTTAAAAGCTTATTTAATTATTTTTTTAAAAATTATATTTCAAATTATATTTCTATTATTAACTAATTAATAGGAACTATTTCTATAGGTTTAATTATAATTATATTAGAAGTTATAGTTAAGATTATTATTTTAAAAAACTATAATTTCTAGATAAACTAATTTAATACTTTTTATAAAATAATTTATAATAAAAGTATTTGAAATAAGATTAATTAATTTAATAATAAAGTAATTAAAATAAATATAATAGTTTCTTTAAGGCTTTTTCTTATACTTAATAAGCTTATACTAAAAGAAATAAAGAATTACTATACTAGATATTAAATTAAAATAAAAAAACTAAAATAAGAATACTTAATTTATAATTAAAAAAAAAACTAGAATCTTTATAGCCTATAATATTCGAGAATATTAGAAACTATTATTTAGTACTTTTAAAGAATTATAAAATTAAGAAACTAGACTAGATAAATAAGCTAATATATTATTATATAATTAGATAATAACTTTATTAAACTATTAATATAGAGATTTTTATAAACTTTATTTTGGGATTTTTTTTAAAAAAAAATAAAGCTTTATTAATAAAATATAATACAAATTACTATTATAAGTAAATAAAAAAGAAATAAGTTTAAAGTACTAGTTTACTAATTAGAAAAAGGTATTTAATTATATTAGAACTCTTAAAATTACTAAAATTATAAGTATTTTAGTAATAATTAAGTATTTTAATAGCTTTCTAATAGAAACCTATATTAATTTAAATAATAGAATAGCTTAGTAATTTATATAATAAAAATAAACTAGAGCTTTTAATTTTTATATTTAAATAATATATTTAAATATTTAATTAAATTATTTTAGAGAATTAGAATTAAAATATTAAGTATTTAGAAACTTTTATAATCTTTATTATATTTAGAAATCAAATTATTAAAGAATTAAATAATGAATTAAATTCAAATAAATATAAATACTATAAATATTCTTATAAAAGTTTTAGGAACTTTAAATATTACTAGAATTTATTTAGCTATATTATTATAGAAATTATAAATTAGAAAGATTTAGAAAAAGCTTTTAATTAAATATTAAAAGAATCTAAAACCTTAACTAAAAGAAAAATATAATATAAAAATTACTAGTAAATAAGCTATAGAGAAATTAATATCTAATATTAGTTTTAAAAGGAAATTTAAAATATTATTTTAATAAATATAATATTTATAATCTAGAACCCAGATTAAAAAATCTATATAATACTCGATTTCTTAAAATATTTACTTTTTTAGAATATTTTATTAGGTAATTATAATACTATATATCTAATTAATAATAAGAATCTAATTAATTCTAATATTTTTATTAAAGTATAAATTAATAATTATATAAAAGTAGAAACAAATAGTTTTCTAATTATTAAATATAATATTTATATAATTAATAAACTTATAAAACTATATATTGAAAATTGAATTCTTTATAATATTATAATTATTAAAGGATTTTATATAAATATTATTTCTAAAGCTTATTTAATAAAAAAGAAAACTTAATATTATAAATATAATCTTATATTTAAATTAAGAAAATATAAAGAAAATATAATTAAAATATAGATTTTTTTTATTAAATATAAGCTACTTTTTATTTATTCTAATATTTTATTTAAAATTCCTATTAGTACTAATAATATACTTATATTTCTAATATTTAAATATTTAATTAGAGCTTAATAAAAGAAATTAAAGAAGTATTTTAAATTAAGAAATAATTTAATAAAAAAATAATATATAAAAGTAAGTTATTTAGTTTATTAATTATATATATACTATGAAAATTAATAAATTAATAAGAATTATATATAAATTTTATATTTAGATATATATTAAATAATTAATTTTATTTAAGTTAATAAAAAGAAAATTTATTTGACTTATTTAATTATTTAAATAGCTATAATAATTCGAACTAAATTCTAATTATTAAAAACAAATTTAATAGAAACCTTTTCAAATATCTTTTATTAAATAAAAAGGATTTACTAGTATTTAATATAATTAGAAATTTTATAAAACCGAATTCTTTTAAGCTTATATTACTTATAGTAATAAGAAGAAACTAAAGAACTCTTTTTAATACTATATAGTTATAAAAGGCGAATTTAATAGTATTTTCTATTAATTTAATACTAATTTTATTAAGTCTAGAAAGTTTTATTTAATATTTATAAAACTCTTTATATTAAAGCCTTAACTACTTATAATATATAGAAAGCAAATATAAAAATAGATATAAGATTAGAAGGGAAAGGGAAAGAAGGTTATAGTAGAAGAGGATAAGGATACTAGAGGAAAAGAAAATAAAGGAGATATAGATAATTCGAGTAATATAAGTAGTATAAAAGATATAGAGAGTAAGAGAGATATGCCTCGTAATCCATGAGATTTGCCTTATAGACTATATAAGCTAAGAGGAGGCCAGAAGTAGTCGAGAATAAGGCGTATATACTGTACTTTTTTTATTTTTAGTAAGGTGTGAGGAGAGGGGGGGTATGGGCGCAAAAATCAAAAATTCAGAAAATCACTTTTCGCTTCTCGGTTTTGTCGACTAGCCCGCTAATGGCCTCAGTAGACGGGCAACCGTTGTTAGCTTTACACCTTTATAATCAGATAGATTAATATCCCGAAGTCCCATACTCCAAAACCTCAATACCTCCAATGCTAGTAATGTTATTACGGTTATTAAAGCTGCTTATACTACTATTAAGGGTCTATCTGTTCAGTTACACGGCCTAGCCAGTGGTCGATTTTGTAATCGAGAATACTTCCGCTCAAGGAAACTAGTTAATGGCGATATAAGAAAGCCTTGGCTGGAGGAAGAAGACAGTTCTAAGAAATGGCTTCTTATTATGCCACTCTCCGGCATGGTTATAAGGCTCTTTCTTGCAAGTATAATTATTTATAGGAGTATTAAGGTAGTTGTAAATTATAAGTATTGTAATTTGTTTATCGAAAACTTTAATAGTATAATATTAAACGAGTTAGTTTAAATAAAAGAAGTTGAACTTGGTAGCAGGCTTAGTAAAAATTCCTTAATTTCCGGTATTAATAGTATTAATACTAGTATTAATTCCCCGAATCCAATTCCTTCCTTTAATTGCAATTAACTTTAGAACTACTTCTCTTATAAGAAAACTTTTAATAGCACAAATATTCTATTTAATTTAGGCTTTCTATTTAACTACTTATCTTATATTTTAGACTAAAACTTATCTCAATGCGGCTATTTTAAGTAAAAATAAGCTTTTAAGCTTTTGAGATTTTTGTAAGGCTCGCTTATATATTTAGTATCTTAATAAGAAATATAAATATAAGAGCTATTTTAAATTTAAGATATTATTAACTTTTATTAATAATAGTAAGTATTTTTTTTAGTAGAAAGACTAGAAATTAAAGAAATTATATAATAATATATTATTATATAATTTAAATAATAAAAGAAAGAGTTAATTTTTGGAGTAAGAATTAATTCTGGTATTAATACTATTAATTCCTTGAGATACCTGAAAAATACCTCTACTATTAATACCCAGTATATTAAAAAAGTAATCAAGGTATTCCAAATATTCATGAATATTCATAATTAGCTTGAATAGAATATAATTACTGCAATACTTAAATAATTTAATTAGATTAGAATATATAATCATGAATATTCATGAATACTTTGATTACTCTGCACGTGACTATAGCACGTGATACTCTAGCCTAATTAAGTAGAGATCCCGCTCTAGTGTCTCCTTAGCGCCACCTCGCTGCCTAATTAGTGGGTCGAAAGCCTTGCAAAGACGATGCTAGATCGGGAGCCATACCTAATTAGATTAGTATATCACGTGAGACAGTCACGTGTATAGTAATCAAAGTATTCATGAATATTCATGATTACCTCAATTAGAATCTAATTAGAATATAATTAGTGGGTATTTTTAATAAATAAATAGTATATTAAATAAATAGAGTAAAATAGAATAATGGCCATTACTCTTATTTTAGTCAAGTATAAAACCCGTTACTCTTATTTAATTCATATATTATTCAAGTTATTCATGAATATTCATGAATAACTTAAATAACGCACGTGATCTATGCACGTGATAGAGCTAGCCTAGTCAGGTATGGCTCCGGGAGGGCATGCACCTAGCGCCACCTCGCTACCCAATCAGGTAGTAATGGCGCTTGGTAAGCGAATCGAACCTTAGTAATACTTCTATTTTATTATTATAGAAAATTAGTATTTAAGTACCCTTATATAAGTACTAGCTTAGCTTATATAAGGCTGCTTAATAGGTATCTTAGTTCTTTTTTAAAAATTTAAATATATATTAATTTATTGCAACCACGTGACTTATATGTGATTATTCATGGTTATTCATGAATAATTATTCTATTTTACTCAATTTATTTAAGCTACTCGTTACTCATATTTTATTCAAGTTATTCATGAATATTCATGAATAACTTGAATAACTTGAATAATCCTTTGACACACTGTGAATAAATTAGATTACTAGCTAGTATTCTAATCTAATCTATTCATTTGACACACTGTCAATACCGGTATCAATGCCTCAGGAATTTTTGCCAAGCCTGCTTGGTGGATTCAGGTATGTATTATATGGATGACACATGTCTTGAATTTTGCTAATCTATTCACTAACAACAGCGAATTCGAGTTTACTACTAGTGGAGATGAAAACGTCTATATCGAGAATTCCCAATTAATAATCAAGCCCATGCTCTGGGAGGACGAAACTATACTCACTGCCGACTATACCCTAAACTTTACAGCCCTGGGGATATGAACTGCAACGAACACTACAGACTGTGTTGCTTCCACTAACACTACTCTCGGAACGATTATCAACCCTATCAAGTCTGGACGAGTAAATACCAAAAAGGCAGTACATGTTAAGTACGGACGAGTTGAAGTCGAGGCGCAACTTCCCGCGGCGATTGGATCTGGCCAGCTATCTGGATGTTGCCAGTAGTCAATACATATGGCGCTTGGCCGGCTTCTGGTGAAATTCACTTGGTCGAGTCCAGGGGTAACCACACCTACGAGCAGAGAGGTAATAACATTATCAGCAGCACAATGCATTGGGGGGCCAATAGCGATACGGACAGCTACTGGCGAACAAGCAAGAAGCACGCCAGTCTACACAATACTTACAAGGCAGGATTCCATAAGTTCGGACTCGAATGGAGTGAGAGTTACCTTTTCACGTATGTCGACTCCCGGCTTCAGGAAGTTTTATATAGCCCATTCAGCGAGCCCCAGTGGACCCGAAGTGCCTTCTCATCAAGAAAAGGGAAAGCCGTATTGGTCGATCCTTGGAGTCAGACAGGTCGTGATAATACTCCGTTTGATATTGAGTTCTACCTCATTCTTAGTGTTGCCGTGGGTTCTACTAACGGCTGGTTTGAAGATGGAAAATCCGGCAAACCTTGGGTAGATAATTCTCCATTGGCAATTGCTGATTTCTGGGCGGCAAAGGATGAACGGTATCCAACGTGGATAGATGGGAAAGCACAAATGACTATTAAGAGTTTAAAGATATGGCAGCAATATAGTTAAACTTTATACACTTTCAGTAAAAATATTATCTCAGAGGTTATTTTATATTAAATAGTAAGTTAGAAGCTAGATATACTCGTGGCTTGTGACATTTCCCCATCCCAAAGAGGGCCCTGATTACGGGTTTCGAAGGAGACTAAGCCATGCTAGCGATCCTCGCAGGACGGCAGGTACGGATCCGACAGGAGGCTGCCACGAGCATGGATTGCGCAGATAGTAAATCAAAGTCGAGAATCTATTTTGAATCAAATGCATCGCATGTCTTGAGAATTTGTCTCTTTCACGCTTGTGAAACTCCCTTTATTGTTTGGATATATAGGCAGCCAGGCTAACGCAATCCATTCCAGACTTCCCGTTCCCCCAACATTATTATTATTATTATATTATATACTCTATATAACCGCATTCAAAAATCAAGCAATTCCAAAGATTAGTGCATTCCAAAGATCAATCCATTCCAAACCAGTGTCTTAGCTAAGAAAACGCGTTTATAGTAGTGCTTTACGAGCTTTTAAGGAATGTAGTTTAGAAGAACAAGGAATGCAAAAACATTGAAGTGTACTAACTAATTGAAATATCTTATCTCTATTAATAACATTCCAATGCTAGTACGTAGCATTTGAGCATTGAAACAAACTAGGAAATAGATATAAGTAAGGACATATTAAAACTAACTCTCTAAATATGCAGCGTTTTCAAGGTACTACTCAATGAAACAGGTTCGATTATACTTACGAATCACTTCAATATGGCAATATTACCAGTGACTCCAGAAAATCCTCGACGCCCAACTACTAATTCAATTGTAAGCGACCCCAGCCTCGAAAATAATAAGGACTCCGGGAATGTTTTGGGACACCGTCAATGGTTACAGAGAAGTCCTATACGAAAGAGACAGACCACACCTTCTTCTGTACATACGTCGATGCCAGGCGCACTACAATCCAAACGAATATCCAGAAGTCGACGAAACCAAGACGGGGCCCTGGAGCCAGGGACACTAGCAAGGATACCTAAAAGTGCCAAAGGCCTCAACGCGAGTAAAATTAAGGAAAACTTCAAGCAAAAAGAAAATGACAAAGATAATACAAGTGAGTACAAAATGGCGTGATATGTCTTTATTTTATTTTTTAAGCTCATAATCTGATCTTTAAGATTTTGAACCTAGCCATAACGCCTATAACTCGGAGCGGAAGCAAGGTACGTCTACTGTTCAGATATATAATATTGTTATGCCTTTGTAATATATTTACCCCATTTTGACAATGCAAGGCTTTATATCTGCAATACAAAATTTCGAATTTAGCTAACAAGTTGCCAGATGATATCGGCGAGGAAAACGCTAACTATAGCAGAGCCGGAGCAGAAAGGGGGGTTGATAATACAAGGGACGAGAAGTCAGACAAGGGTAGTAGTATGTTCTATTTCACAATCTCTCTTATAACTCTTAGATAGAGTTTATAAGGATACAAAGCTGCCTCGACTTTGGATTCATATAGCTAACTACTAATACTCTCTGTTCCAGGGAAGCTATTCAAACATAAGCTGAATGAGGATCTCAGATGGGCTGGTGGATTCGACCTAATAGCGGTTTGCGAGAGTGGCGATAAACGGGTTCCTTTTGACGAGAGCAAACGTATTCATCTCGCCCGATGGATGCTAGATCAGCAACTCGATGACCCATCCCAAAATGTTTTAGCCTTCAAGGAATATCTCGAAACTGAAGGATACTTGAAACAGGAATACCACGATTTGTATATCCCTCAATCAAAGAGACCCGAGGAGAAGACGTGGGCCGCATTTATATCCAGGGGATTAGGACGTGTAGTTAACGGGCTCAAGGTATCTATGATAAACGGAGGAGCAATTGTTGCCGAAGGGAATGTGAAGAGCTGCAAACAGACCATTTTTGCTTCTTGGGCAACCGACGTCTTTGAACAAACTTCGTTTAGGGCTGTTCCCCTGGACTTTGTGGATCCCCGATACCGACCTTATATGCAAGCTAGCTTAGTGGAAAGGGCTTTTCTTGCAGCTCTGCCCGAACTACGGAAATGTACACACCGTCAGAGATCCATGTTTCTGGAGGCGGTTGGCCGCATTCCAGCTACGGGTGGAGAAGAAAATGAAGGCCTAGACGAAGCAGACGGTCCGTCATTCATCGCACCCGGTCCGTGGTACGGTTCTGAACGCGCTATTAGCTCGCCAATAGATTGTGAAATCCCTTCCGGCACAACAGCTACACGCACAGCAAGCTCCGGAGACAATACAGGACGATTATCAAAAACAGTATAGATATGAAAGGCCCAAGTGAGTTCTGTTATACATTTTTCCTAATCAAAATATTAATATTAATTATATATAGAACAAAAAGGCAGCCAGACAGAATTAGTATATTATTAAGTTCTCGAAATTATAGCCAAATAACTTCTTTTAGCTCTAATATTATTAATTAATAAATCTATAAAACAAAATACTTAAAAAAGAAAAAATTAAGTTTAAAAAGTATTATATTAATAAATTTAAAGAAATATATTAATGATTTTATTAAAATACTCGAGCTCTTATTTAAATATAATATTTTAATAAGAATATTTGAATTTTAATTATAAATTATAATAATAAAAATTAAGCTTTTATAAGATTATTAAATAAATAAAATTAAATATTATTTAATATAATATATTAAAGTATTTTATTTATAAAAAACTTAATTATTATATTTATTTCAATAATTGCTTTAAAAAGAAGAAAAATAAATTAAAAATTATATAAAATAATAAAATATATTTAAAAATTCTAAGTATTTGAAATATAATTACTAGAATTTCTAATAAGACTAAAATAAATTTTATAATAATTATATAAAAAGAAATTAGTAATATAATAATAAGATATAATATATTATTTGAATAAGCTTTTAATATAATATTTATTAAATAGTTTATATAAAATATAATATAATTAAGAATGTTTTTTATTAAATAAGAAATATAGAAATTATAAAGTTTATTATAAATATAATTAAAGCCAAAATACTAGTTATTATAAATTATAAATAATAGAGACTTTATATAAGTATTTGAAATATATAATTATAAAGTATTATAAATAGAAATTTTATTACTATTAGTTATATAATATAATTAAATAATCTCTAGATATTTATATTTCTGGTTTCATATATATATTTCCTGCTTTTTTTCTTAGTTCTTAGAAAAAACTAATAAACTAACCTTTACTCTCTAATTTCATATTATAAAAATATATTCTTTTCTATATATTACTACTTGTTTTGTATTTCTATTATAGTATTAGAAAACGAAATATAATAAAAAAGATTAATTTTAATTTTAAAGTTTATATTATATATTTAAAAAAGAAAAATACTTTTTAAGCTAATTTAAGAAAATTTAATAATTGCAAAATATTTATTATTAAGTTTATTATTATAAAAAATACAATAAGATTCGAATATAATAAGATTCGAATATAATATATATATATATATATATATAAAATAATATTTAATTTACTAGAAATATATTAAATATTAGAATAAATATTATAATTAAATAATATAATAACTAATTTTAAGCTAATTAAAGTATTATATATAATTTATAATAAATATATAATAAATAGTTTATTATTTTTAGAAGCTTTAATATTAGTAAAAAAATGAGCTTTATATAGATAATACTCGAAAATTAGTAATTTAAAGAAATAATATATATTAAAACTATTTATTTTAGAGAATAATATAGTACTTTAAAATATATATATTAAATGATTTTTAGTAATTCAAAGCTCTTTAATTAAATAAAACAAGTAAAACATAACAATTATACTTTTCTGAGAGATATATTATAGTATTACTATAGTGAGATTACTTATTTAGGTATACTATAATTCCTTTACTTAGTCGGAATTTTTATATCTATATTCTAGAGTTCTAATACTTTACCTGAGCTTTTTTCTAGTTAGCTTTAATTAACTCTTTTACTAGAAATGCAACTCCTTACTCTGCTTTATTTACGTGCATTATTTAATTATAAGAGTAAGTAGTTTTATTTTAATTCATTTTCAAAGATTACGAATTCGCAATTCGCGAAAATCGGAAAATCAGAAATCAAATCTCGCTTCCGCATTTTGTCCACTAGCCAGTTGTGGGCCTTAGTAAAAGACCTCACGTCGACTTTGGGGATATACATTGACTGTACAAGGAATTATAATAAAAAGATATGCCCTGAATTATAGTGAAGGGCTCTGGAGAGCAATGCATGACACCGCAATTAAGCCCAAAGAACCCACTCTATCCACCCTCCTAATTCTTTCTTCCAGTCATGAATTATCGAGTATCGAATGTGTGACGATTACAAGAGGTAAGTAACGAGACCCAAGAGACTCGCAAAGCTTACAGTAGACATAGCGAAGAGCTTATTGCCACCAGAAGTAGTGATTGGGGACGGGGTTGAGCTCGTAGCAACGGGGACCTTGGCGGAGGTAGAGCTAACGCTGGCGGCTTTGGGAGTGGTTGTTGCGTTGGAGTACACAACTGGGGCGACGGCTGGGGCACTATAAATAATTAGTCTATTTGTCGGTTAAAACTGCATTGGAACAGTTAAACGGTACTAGGTATTGCAATACATTATGCTTAAGCTGGTCACTGGCTTGATAATAGTACAAGGACAGTTGGTAATGGTTAATGTGGAGCTCTGAGAAGTATGTTAGGGTTGGCCCTCAGACTAAGGGGTCGGATATTTGGGCTACGAGTGAGATTTGATCTCATGGCAAACCAAATAATCTGTCGGATTTGCAGCTTACCTTAGTAACGGTGTAGGTAACGCCATTAAAGGTGAGCTCAGTGGAAGCTGGGCAGTAGGTACTGTAGGCAGTGAAGACCTCAGTAACGTAGTCAATAGAAACACTGCTGGAGTTGGCGGACAATGCGGCAATAGTGGTTGCGAGAGCGGCAATAGCGGTAATGGATGTGAATTGCATCTTGAAGGTTTTGTTGATATTATATACTGTAAGAGTAATAAGGGAGGATTGGGATACTGTTCGAGGCTGCGTTTGACTATTAAACGAATGTAAGAGACAAAAAGTCTGGTGTTGTTGATTGAAAGCGAGAGTGTGTAATGGAGAAAAGAAGGGACCAAAAGAACGATGGGGAACGTGCTTTATACGTGAGGAGCAAAAAAGTAGCCAGGGGAATCTGGCTGGCACAAACATGCAAAAAACATACCCGAAGGAAACAAGTGGCTCCGGGCTGCGCCTGTGACTAAGCCTATGCCTGTGCCGTCCTTGCCAGCAATCATTAGCATGGGCGCAGTCCATAGCAATTCGTACTCGTACCGCTGGCCAATTCCAGGTGCTCCAGCGGGGTGCTAGCCAGTCAAGCAAGCCTTCACGTTCTGTTTTGCATCCTTTACAGTGACGATTATCGAGGTGACTAGCCCCCGCCCCCCCGTTTTATTTTATTTTTCTACTACTTACTGCCTGAATTTTAGTAGAGGTTTGTTAGCCTCTTCACTATCCTGGAGTCCTGAAGCTCTGGACCCTCCTTCCAGTCTGTCTTTTCTTATTGTAGCCGCGCTGGGCCTTCCTCAACTATCACACTCGCGAACTCTTACCGGAGGGATGGTGGCCTGATCTTTGGAATGCGAGGTGGACTGGTCTTTGGAATGTGCGGCGTATACAAAATTTTACTTGGGACTAGGGTTGCTGGGTTGTATCGTTACGCGTAATAATGTAAAACACTTTACCTTTATTGTATGTAACGAGCTTTTATCGTTACAGCACGTGCTTTTTTTAGGGGGAAATTTCGGGCTTTTGGGTCCTTCTTTCAGGGCTTTTAGAGACCCCTTCTGAGATATTTTAGGCTTTCGAGGGCCTAAAATCCGGGCTTACCGAGCTTATCTCGCTAAGTTAAGGGTCAAGAGCGAAGTAAGAGACTATACTATATTAGGAGGTCTCTAGTACTTTTCGGGCTTAGCTTGCCTTAACTCCCTAACTTAATAAAGCTAGTGCATTACATGACTGCGGGCGAGTGGTGCTGGTGGTGGGAGGTCTTTACTGTCTTTACAGTGGCGGCAATGGGCAACTTGCATGGGTTGTCCAGGTTTTTTTCAGGGCTCCTTATTAAAGGCTTTATGAACCCAATAATGTTTAAGAGCATGCTAAATGCTATTGCCTTCCGTTTAGTCGATGGTTGTGGTGTTAATGGTTAATAATTAGGAGAGATGGAGCATTCAAGAGAGAGATTTTTTACTGCCGCTTGCTTACCGCTCGCCCGATTAGGCTAGTGCGTCACATGACTGAAATGTAAGGTGTAAAATACTCTTGTCGTTACATTACGGTGGTAATAATAATACACTTTTCTTTTACAATAAAGTGGCAACCCTACTTGGGACAGGGCGCTTGGAATGGATCGCTGGTGGCCTATTTAGCGAGATATAATGAGACTTATTAAAACTTTAAGAGTAAGTAACCTGTTTTATTAGAGAGGATTATGTGAGAAAGTAGTATAAATAAGATTTTAGAAAACATTACAAGACTATTATATTACTAAATTCAATATACTATAACTATTATAAGCTAATTTAATACTAGTTTTATTTAAAAGGTTTTAGTAAAGCTTAAAAAGTTATTATTATTCTTTTATCTAATATAATATTAGTAATATAAGTAAATAAAAATTATTTAAATAATAAGATATAAATTTATATATTATTATAATAATAGAAATAAAGTAATAAAATAAGGCTTAAAAATCTATAACTTTAATATTTTTAATATATTAAATAAATAAATAAAATTATATTAATAGCTATTAATCTAATTTATTTATAAAAAAAACTTATTAATTATAATTAATTAATATATATATAATTCTTTTATATAATAAATTAGCTAGATTAGATAAAGCTCTTATTTATTTCTATTCTAATACTATTTTATTACTTAATTAAATAATAGTATTATTTAATAAATAAGCTAAAAATTAGGAGTAAATTAAGATTTTAAAAAAGATAACTAGTTTATTATAATAGAAAATTAGTATTTAGCTCTTATAATAAATTAAAACGGGATTTATATATTTAACTAAAAGCCTATACTAGATTATATAATAAAGGCTAGAGCCTTTATTATATAATATATTTTCTTAAATTAATAGAATAATTATATATTATTTAAAAAGCTCTAGTATTTTAAAAAAAAAAATATAGTTTTATTTCTCTTATTTTTCTCTTTCTTTTTTCCTTAGAGAATTTTAATTAATTAATTAAACTACTAGTTTTTTTTATATAAAAGTCTAGTCCGTAATATTAGAATTCTCTTTTTCTTATTTTTACTAACTAGAGATTATATATATATAAATCTAGAAATAAGAAATACCTGAATTTATATATATAGAAAATAAAGCTTAAAATAAATAAAACTAAAAATAAACTTTATTTAAAACTATTTATAAAGCTAATATCTTAATAAAACTTTGAAATATATAAAAGCTAGTAATAGGAAATATCCGAAATTATATATAAAAGCCGGAGTATTAATTTAACTAGTTAATTCTAGGAATTATTTAGGTTTTTCTAAGCCTAGCTTAAGAAAAGAAAACTATTAGATTCTTTTATTATATAAAAATTTAGAAATAAGACTTCTAATAATTAAATAAATAATTAAATAGTTATATAAAGCCTTTTAATAATTATAGAAAGCCTTTATAACCCAGTTCTAATAATTATTAGAACTAGTAATATAATAAATAAATTAAATAGTAAATCTGGCTATATAAATTAAATTAATTAATAAATATAAATATTTCTTTTATTTTATATATTTCCTTAATTTTCTTAATTTCCTTTTATAAAATAAGTAAAAGCCTGCTTTTTGAATTCTAATATAATAAATATATATAATAATATATAAATAAATATTAAATATTATAAATCTAGTTTCCTATTTTAGATAGAGCTTATAATTAAAATTATATAAATTATATAAGGTTATATTTTCGAATTAAATAAAAGGCTTTATATATTTAACTAAATATTAGAAAATATATAGAAATCTATTTCTAGTTTTAGAAATAAATATTAATTAGTTTTTAATTAGAATTAATTCTCGGAATTAGTTATATTTATAAGTATTATTTTATAGTTTATTTATTTTAATTACTTATATATTACTTTATTATTATATATTTTATATCTAATAAGTTTAGTAAAAATAATTCAGTTCTATATTTCTAGTTTAAAGAACTTTTATAAATAAAGCTAGAAATTAATAAAAAGGTAATTAGTAAAAAAATAAAAGAATTTAATACGAGTTTAAATATTTATTTAGTAAAATAATATACTAAATATATTTATAACTAGAATATATTTAAAAAGAAAATTATAATTAAAGAATTATTTAAATAAATAAACCTGGCCTTTTATAATTTATAAAAGTAATAAAAGATCTTAAAGAAATTAAATTAAATTTAGTAAAAGTTAATTTCCTTAAATAAATTCTTAAATAATTTTAATTATTTAATTCTAGAAATAAAAGAAATAAAATAATAAAATAAAATTAAGAAAAAATATTTTAAAATTACTATTATAATTAAGCTTATAAAAAAAGAATCATATAAGAAATACTATTTCTAATTATAAATAATTAATAACTAGTTAACTAAAATCAAGAATATAAAAGCCTGTTATTTAAACTAGTTAAATAAGAGATCTAAAAGCCTTTTTTAGCCCAGGGCTACTTTATCTATTTAACTAATAAAATAGAAGTTTATTATAAATAATATAAGATAATAATTAAAAAGTATTTCTAATTAGGCTTCCTAAAATAAAATTAATTAGTAAAAAAAAAAAACTTTACTTTTAATATAATTAAAATAATTATTTTATATATAACTATTAAATAAAGCTATATTTGAATTTCTTTTTTAAGCTAGTAAATAAAAAAAATAAAAAAAATGAAAAAATAGCTAAAAATAAAAGCAAAAAATATAAAAATATTAAAAATAGCTTTAAAGAAAATAAAAATAGCTCGGAAAAAAAATATTAATATCTCGAATAAAAATAAGAATAAGAATAAAAAGATTTTAAATTTATTTAATTCGGGAAAAGACTAGCTTTTAATAAAAGTTATTATTAGAAATATATAGAAATAAAATAAATTTAATAAATTTAGAAGTAATTTCAAAAAAAATTAATTAGGCTTTTTTTTATATTAATACTAAATATATATTAATTATTCTCTAATAAATAAAGGCTTTTAATAAAATAACATTAAATATAAATATTAATAGCTATTATAAATCTTATATATATTTTTATATAATTTCCAAGATTTCTAATTTAAATATAATTTTAAATATATAATAGGTTTATTTATAAAATATATAAATCTATAATTCAAAATTAGAACTATTTATTTTTTTATTAATTTTTAGCTTATAAAAAATAGATTAAATATAAGTTTTAATAAAAAGAAATATAAAAGTTCTCTTAACTAATCTAATAAATATTTAAAAAGCTCTAATTTAATAAAAGAAAATAGAACTAACTTTTATATAAAGCTCCCGGAATAATATAAGAGCTTTTAAAAGATATTTTATCTAGTTAAAATAAAGAAATTATTATTTATTTAAGGCTAGGAAATTAATTACTAAATTAAATTAAAAGAAACTAATAGAAAAAATCTATTATATTATAAGGCCTATTATATAATATATTTCGAAATAAGCTTCTAGTATTATAAAAGATATTTATAAAATTATTAAATAAAAAGTTTATTTAAATAAATTATTTTTCTATTCTTTATATAGAAATCTAATAGGGAATTACGGTTTTATATAAGTTATTAGAGCCTAAATAAGCTTATAAAAAAGAACTAGTATTTGCTTTTATTAATTTATAAAACCTTTTAGAATATTAGAAAAGTAAAATAATTTATAAAACTTAATATTATAATAGCTTTTTATAAGATTTATATTATTA